TGTGTGCGAGCGAGTAAGCAAATACAGAGGCAAATTTATAATTGAATCGAATCAAGGCGCATATAGAAAAGGCAAAGACTAATATTGGGATTCTAATGCATATATATATATAAAAGAAAATGATTCGTCGAGTTATATTTAAGCGATTAACATTTAAGCTAGAGAGAGAGAGAGAATGAGAGATATGCGTAGGCTGTCACGTTTCATCAATCGTACACGTTTATTGAGACAAGTTAGTGATTATAATAGTAAAAAGAGATATAAGAATTGTTACTGTTCAAATAACATTGTCCGTTAAATAAGTTAATAATAAAGCTTGACAAAAATTAACCGTAATGTAGATTAATCATAAGAGTGGTTGCTATAATGTCTAGAACTAGAACGGAAGTGATATTCTTTTGTGGATACATTAAATGGCAAATTGTTATTACGAAATATATTGTACTATGAAGAATTAAGCTGAATAACTCTATTGTTTGATTAGCTTAGAAAGAATATTAAACAGTCTGACAACAATACTTTATCTTCACTTGATATTGTTTTACTTGTATCTTTCCATTGTTATTTAGGACTGTAATTGATCAATCTCTTGTTAGCATATGTGTATACGATGCGGATTACCTCAATATTGCCTTAAGTCAAAAGCTTTTTAATTTTACCTTTTTAATTGTTTAAACTAATCATTGTTCGATTTTTATTCATAGTAAAGATTTTTAAGACATATCCTTTAACAGATTAATATTTCTTCTGTACACATAAATTGAGGTTATATGTAAGAATTGCTATGGTTTTTGATAGATGTTTAGATTCAAAACTCCGTTTAGATTTCTTTTAAATAAGCAATCTAAAAATCGTAGCTCATCGTGGTCACTTTCATTCTCGTGCGTAAATTTAATGTGGGATGAGAGTGTATTAATCAACTTAGAAAAAGATCTTAAGTGAGTTTTTTTATGACGAAAAAAGTATCATTTACATATCTGAGACAAATTCTTGATATAATTTCATTGGCGAAAATATCTGATTCTATATGTGACATAAACAGGTTGGCTGAAATCAGGGATTCCGATGTTACTCCGTTTGTTTGCTTATATAATGTCCCGTTAGAAGTAAATAAGATTAAATTTAAGCATAGTTATAAGGATTTCATGAATAGACTAATGTTTAAAGGACACCTATCAGATCAAGTACTGTAGTTCTCTAGTATATATATATATATATATATATATATATATATATATATATATATATATATATATATATATATATATATATATATATATATATATATATATATATATATATATATATAGCTTGTTAGACCTAGGATGAAAAAAGTTCATTTTACCAAGGATTTCATAGACTTTAAGATACATTATCGCCAGTAATTCATAAATAAAAGTTCATACCAATGACGAAGCCACATTTGTCCTTCATTACATGCTTCGAATGACGTATTCTTGTAAGTGTATTGCAGTATATACACATTGGAATAATGAACTCTTTAGACTTTACAGTATCAATTAAACACCTTGAGTAAAACGAACTATACAACGTTTGATAGTTGTTTTAAAAAGATTCTTTATTTATTCAGGCTATTACTACATAACTAAGGGATCCTTATTGAAGAAAATTGATTCGAAATTACTTCTTCTATAAATCAATGATGATTTCGTACACAGTTTAGTGGTTGGGGATCTGACTCCAATTAGATCGTATGAATGTTCGTTATTGAATGACTGCTGTCGAAATGTATATGTCGCCTATCCTCGTATATAATCATCGACTTAAATCGCGTTAGTCAATAACAGAATTAAATAAGTAAAATAAGAGAATGAATTTCGAATACGTATATTTCATACAATCTTTGATCCAGACAAAATATCGAAGATGCGAACAGAAGAGAGTGAAGCGAATTGACGTGCGGTGGAGAAGACATGTGAGCCAACTTGCTTTAACCAAGAGCTAATCAATATTTATAGTCACATAAAATTAAGCTACAGATATGTAGTGAGTGGAATAAGAAGCGAATAATTAACAAGGTCAGAATGTGACTGAAGTCGAATGAATAGATTGGCCTGTCCGAAAGCTAGAATAGGTTATACGAGCTTAACATAATGACCGACACTACAGTTTCAAATTGATTACCGATTTGTATAGACCAAATGATTACTGAATATTATAAATTTTCGCTTTTGTATGTTAAGTAACTCCAGATTATTTTATAGGCTTGAAGTTCAAATTTTTGTATTAAACATATAAATTTAAGTCTAGAAGAAAGTCATTATGTTCATTTACAGTACTTAATATATTTAAATATCAAGGTGTTTGTTAACGGTTCGTAACCAGTTCTTTTGAAATACACCTATTTAGAAATTTTCCATATGAATAGCCTCATTTTAGTGACAGTTCAATACTTATTTCATTTGTTATACCAAACTCATTTTTAACTCAGAAGAAAATTGAGGAATAGATAATTAATCTTGTTTCTCGGCTTTGTTAATAGTTATCCAAATGTATTTCTTCTAGAGAGATGGATTCTATCGTCTCGATTCCTCCATAATACTTCCAACTTATTAGCAACTTTATCTAAAAAAACTTCATGTGGATCACGAAACTGAAGTCGATGTCTCTGTTGTAGAAAAAGTCAGCATTAATATATTCAAAACAAAATAGTTTACTGTAAAACATTTTTCTCTGTTTGGGTATGGATCTTTTGGTAGGTACAGTTCTTTTTCCCACTTTTTATCTTGTTTTAATGGCTTCAGGAATGAGCTCGGCAGTTTTCGTACTACTGTGTTTTCACAGTTAGTTCCCCATACTAGAAAGCACAATTAAATTTGTTTGTTATGTACTTACTTTGTTGTCTTGTCTTCTTTAGGAAATTGAGATTCATCGGATCTCTTTCATATGTTGTGATAAACTTTGGATGTTTACTTTCATTTGTAGGTGTCAGCTGAAAAGAAAGACTAACAACCTGAATGTAACCATTCAAAAAATAATATATATGATAAAATGTGTTTGTTGTAATTAGTACGTTAATGACAATTTTAAGCTATTTATAAGTAAAATTATGACATAATTCAATGTTTCGATAGGTCTATCATTCATTAACCGTTACAAAGAACACTTTGAAATATATTTAACCCAATCAATTCATTAAATCAACTTGATGAAACAATCCAATCATTATCTAAAACTAGATAAATATTAACTGATGTTAGGAAATCATGTTATCTTGATATAGTTATGCAAATGGTGACTTTACTAGCTACATGATATTGTCTCAATATGCAGTACATATTTCTAGGAAAGTAAATGGTTTCTTAATATTTCAAAAGTGCTTTGTTAATCAGTACAACTGATTAAAAATCTTAGCTCACAGCTTCCTTTAATTTCACCAAACATAACTCATTCTTTTTCTCTGATTTTGTTTAATAATACTTTAAATATCACTACAAATACCATAACTTCTGATAGTTAAGACTCAAATATTTAGAAGACAGGGAGATTTTGAAACAGATTTCAAAATATCACCTAGCTTCCTAAATCTCTATTTTGGACAAAACAAAACTCATCATACTCTAAAATATAGCTCACCAATATTTAAAGGAATCTGAGACTAGGTATTTCGATAAAAGTTTAAAATTGCTGTTGTAGTAACCTACTTTTATGAAGAGAACTCGATTGATATAATGGAAACAATTATTATTATAACCAATTATACCAGTGATTGTTTTACTGTAGCTGTTTGTTTAAGTGTACCAAGAAAGACACTCTTCGTTGTGTATGACCTTTCACGAACTCTCGTATGCTTATTCGTCTCGCTTGTGGATTTTGGCACGATCTCAGTATTATTTCGATAACACGAGATTGTCAACAAATACATCTTACTACAACCTTTAACTGCTTTTGTTATTTGGCCTACGGAGGGGTCAAATCTGGTAACTGGTACGTAGTCTTCCTGTAATGGTGATTATAGTCAACCTCGACTCAACGCCTGCTACACTGTATTCTATTTAACTAAATGACCTATGTGTCAAACTTAAAAGAGGTTTGATTAATTGACGAAGTCTCTGAATTTATTATATGTTTTTATTAATGGTCAGTCTTGTTATGCTGGTTTGGTAATTATTTATCACGGCAAAAATGAACTAATTACGAAGAAACTTTTTTTAATGGATCAGCATGAAATACATTTTACTTCTAGTTCTTGAGAATTTTGCTTCAATAGTGACTAGTCTACTTTGTAAAACGAGCAAGATATAGATTATATGAATTAAATTACTGAATATTAAGACAATGAGTATGGAAAAATTGCAGTTTCATCCACATTTTACATGAAGTTTAAAGCGCTTAAAATACATAGAATGTCACAAAAACTTAATATTCTAACAAATATCAATGACAATAGCGTTGACTATTGAGGTATTTTGTCGAAGAATCAACCAATTTGATTTCAGAATATATCATACCTCAATGTTACCTTTTAATACATATATGATTGAAAGAAGCTAACAAGAAACCACGAAATGTAGTGAATTCATATTATTTTAGAGCAATTATTGTACTGGCTTTAATCAAATCCGTAGAGTGAACTACAAGAAATAGACAGGATATTACATCCGATGATATGTCAGATTGCAGTGCTTTAGTGTGTTATTCTAACGAGCAATGTAAATATTTATTACAAACATGACTATTTATTGTTTTAATACATAGTTGGTTTATGATTTAGAAAATCCTTTTAGTATCCTGCATGTTTAATTTAAGCATTGACTACGTATACCCGTTTCTTCGTACAATACCAAATACATGATTTCGAGTACCTATTATTTCTAATGACACTTATTATTCATAACTAATTTAAAGGTTTTATCATTAGTTAAATCTTATCCGAATATTATTCTATGTGAAGAAAATAGATTGGAATAATCTATTCATCATCGTAGTCAGATATCACTGTAACAACACAATATAATGATGTAATTAAAATCTAATATTCACTTCCCAAAACATAATTCTAAAGAAAAACTTACTCCTCGATGGTCATGTGGTTTGGGCATTATGTACGGACCTGGTTTAAACGACCCAGATTTGACAAATAAAATTTTGGCTGTGTAAGGTCTCATAGATCTGACAAATTTTAATCTAGGGATTGTCTCTTTATCATGTTCCCCAGTTGATTCTGTAATCTTATTATCATCACTGTCGTTTTTCTGTTTCACAGTTTTAATTCTTTCAGGTTTTATCGATTGACGACTGTTTCTCTTAGGGGGATTCGGTTCCCATTTGTATAAACTGAAATCTGGTGCTGGTATATTCCATAAACACTTTGGAGAAGGAGCTGGCAAATGTAGTTTATGAGTGCTACTTCGTTTATTAAATGAAACTTTTGCTTCAATAAATGATTGCAGTGGAAATGTGAAACAAGGGGAATGGGTTACAATAGTTTCTGACATATTTAAATCATGTTATTAAAAGAACTTTAGCACATCTGATCTAATACAACAAAACAGTAACTTCTCAAAGAGATTTAGAACGATTATATGGTTGATCGGTTAAGCTGTCCTTAGTTAACCTTGCGTAAGTTCAATGATTTGACCAATAAACTAAATAATAGTTAAAATATTTATTTAAATTGGCTTTCAAATTAATAAGTGAGTAGTTGAAAACTCCAATTGATATTATGAAAATGAAGGATTAATTATTGGCAAGATGCTGTACTTATTATAAGATGTGAATCTTTGTCTGTTGATTCTTGAAATCTCTCTACTAGATGATATTCTCGGCATGATTTGAGTGAAATGTATTTTCACAAACAATATGAAGATTAGAAAACTGTAACAAAATCAAAGTTATTATTTCAAAGTAACAGAAATATTTGAAAGCTTTACTTCTTTTCAGCACAGTCCTATTAAGTCCCTGTAAAATTCTTGAGTCACTTAGAATATATATTATCATCCTCTTCGTAGATGCAGCATCAGCTCAATGTCTGGTGGTCACTATTCATTCGATCATGCACTATCTTATAGTCAGAATATTGTTACCAATAAAATCACGAGATAAACATGTAAGTTTAGGATTGGGAAACCATGACATAACATAAAATTATGAAATCACTGATTGTTGAAACTAACTGTCACAAAATACGGAGTCTTAATGCTTCGATTCCAGTCAATAATCATTGTTTATTATTGAAAATGTTTTATTTGCTATTGCTCAAAATTAGAATCACAGACTTATTGGTTTTATATTTTCAGCTGAATTTTGAGTTTCAACATGATTTGATACTTCTGATTTCTCTACTTCATTTGTTCTTTTTGGGTCTTTTTTAGTTCGGACTACAACATCCATACTGTTACTTTTACTCTTTTACAATTGAAATCCAGGAGACTTTTGTTGCTTCGTTTTCTATTGTAAAAGTCTTTTGATAGAAAGATGTACGCTATGATATGAGATGTCCTATTATTATTTCAATTATTTTACATTTCAAACGACCATTGCTTTTTGTTTTTACTTTCAATAGAATCTGAGAAAAAATCATCCAAATAATTTAGTGTTCAGATTTTTTAGTTTGTATTATTGTGTCTTGGTGGGAAAGGGTTACAAAATTATACAAACCCAGCAACGTGGCTTGAAAATCAGAGGTTTTTTAAGGAACAGATAAACTATGATGAGGGTAGTAGAGAAATTATTTTTATTACACTAGCAACTATCAAGTGAAAAAGCTATGAGTTTTCATCAACTCCTCGGAATATCAATTGGTAATTTTGTTTGCATTTAGTATTAGTAATAATCATAACCTAAGTTTTGACATATTCAATGGTCACTAAGCATCGATTTTAATGACTTCAACAAAAAATAGTATGTAGCAGTAAACTAATTGGATTCAGTTGACTATGAAGTTAGGTAATAGATTTGTTATAAAAGAACACATATGATAGGATGTTAGATGAAAAATAAAATCAGGCTGCACGTAGCTGATGAGTTATTTTTATCCTTCTAACTGTTCTACACATCTAGTAATTAATCATTATCGTTCTTTGACTTTATGTGCTTCTGTTTATTACCTGCCATGTTCATAGTCTATCCGAATGATATATACTCAAACTTAAAGAATAACTCCGCCTGTAGCTCTTTTAGGGCTGCTACCGGTCTTAAATCCGGTTAAATGAGGAAGGTTGGGTACGAGGTCAGTGATCTCATTCCTTGGAAAACAATCTTGCTAAAAAGCACTGACCAGAATGGACAAATTAAAACATTTAAACTTTGTCCTCCGACTTAAAGAAAGAATTATGATGCCTCATGGTAAAAGCTGAGATTCTTCTAAAGTCACGAGACTAATGCCCCTTCTAATAACCAGAGCAACAATTAATATAGGTACACGGAATGTCCGGACAATATGAAAGACCAAGAAGTCCAGTCAAATAGCTACAGAAATGAGGAACCATAACTTGAAGATATCATATGACGACATGGACTAGCTACTGGGAGAAACAAAAGAGTATAGTGAGATTTGCGAATCTATGTGAATTCAACAAAATGGTTGTAGGCGGTACAATATTCTTCCACAAAACTACATTGGTTTTACCGGATCACATTACTCAGAAACAGATCAATCATATTTGATTCAGTAAAAAATTCAGAAGGTCAATCTAAGTCGTGAGAACCAGGAAAGCAGCTGACATAGCTTCAAATCACCACATGGTGGTTGCCAAGATGAAACTGAGGCTACAGAATCTTTGGAAAACTGAACAAATAGCATTACAAAGTTTCAACACAGCCTTCCTTCAACATACTGACAAACCCAATGAATTCAAGATAACTCTCAACCCCAGGTTCCAAGCCTTACAGGATCAAGTGAATGCATAAGAAACTACTATGAAGGACAACTGGAAAGGGACTAAAGAAGCCCCGACTTCAAAGTGTCAAGAGGTTTTGGGTTGTGAGAAGCATCATCATAAGGAAAAAGCTAAAACAGAAGGAAATAGGAAACAACTATATGATACAAGGAAAAAACTGGTAGGTAAATATAGTAGACTAGAAAGACTAGTCAGTGACAAAGAAGGGGAGCCAATCACTGAGATTCAAGAACAGAGGAACAGATTGTTGGAATACTTTGAAGGATTTTTAGATAGGCTAGTCTCACTGAACTCACGGTACGTCGGAGTGTCATCTACATGTTTTCTTATAGATATAACTCCACCGGTGGTTGAAGAAATCATCATGGCTATTAGATAAATCAAGAGTGGGAAAGCAGTAAAACCTGACAACACACCAGCTGAAGCGGTGACGTCAGACACGGAAGTAACTACAAACAAGCAGGAAGATTTGGGAGGAAGAACAAGTGCAGATGGACTGGAAAGAAAAATATATCATAAAAGTACCAAAGAAGGGGGATCTGATAGGATGTGAAGACTACAGAGGTATCACACTATTATCGATACCAGGAAAAGTTCTCAACAAAGTGTTGCTGAACCGGGTGGAAGATTCAGTGGACACCTAACTTCGAGATCAACAGACTGGATCCCCTAAGGATTCTTCATGCATAGACCGAATTGTTACACTACGAATAGTCGTTGAACAATCAGTTGGATAGAATTCGTCACTATAGATCAACTTTCTTGATTGTGAAAACGCGCTTGACACAGTGAATATGAGAATCTTATGGAACCTTCTACGACACTATGGAGTACCTGAGAAAATCATCAACATCATCCTGGATTCATACGACATATTAGAGTGAAAAGTTGTGCATAGAGGACTGTTGACAGATGCATTCCAACTAAAGAACCGGAGTCAGACAATGTTGCTTACTCTCCCCTTCCTTTTTCTTCCGGTGGCCGAATCCATTATGAAGACCTCGACATCGGAGAGGAAACACGGAACACAGTGGACAACTCGAAATCAACTAGAAGATTTGGGTTTCGCATATAACCTTGCTCTCCGATCTCATACACACGAACGAATGTAGATGAAGACAACTAGTGTAGCAGCAGCCTCTGCATCAGTAGGCCTCAACATACACAAAAAAAATTCAATATCCTCAAATACAACATGGAGATTATCATAACAGTCACACTTGTTGGCGAAACTCTGGAAGTGGTGGAAGCTTTATCGCATCTGGGCAGCATCATAGATGAACATGAAGTATCTAATGCTCATATGAAGGCAGGGATTGGAAGAACAAGAACCGCATTCCTACATATGGAACTTAAAACAACTGTCAACAAATATCAGAGTGGGTATTTTCAATATGAACTTCAAGGCAGTTCTCTTGTAAGGAGGTAAAACTTGGAGAACCATCATCATCGGCAACAGCCTATTGTGGTAGAGAACCAACCAGCTTCCAAGTGAAGATGAAACTAGGAAAAGTCGTTGGAAGTGGATAGGACATACATTGAAGAAGTCATGAAACTACATCATGAGGCAAGCACCAACGTGGAATGCTGAAGAGAAACGGAAAGGAGGAAGGCTGAAAAACACACTTCGTCTACACATGTAAGCAGACATCAAAAGAATAAACAGTAACTGGAAACAAGTGGAAAGGATTTCCCATGACAGAGTTCGATGGAGAATGCTGATCGGAAGCCTATGCTACTCCATGAGGGGTAGCAGGTGTAAGTATTTAAGTAGGCGATTTAAAGACACGTACTCCGATTTGGCTTGTAGTCAACCCTCGAGATTTACCGAATCAGTTTTCACATATGATCAGGTGTTTGGCCTTTTTTTACCAATATTGTACAATCGAGTTAGCCCAGGCAGACATGAGTTATCCCACTAAACAGTCCAGACTGTAAGCTCATTGAAGACATATGTCACTTCAATCATGTCTGTGGGTCGTGCTAGATGCTTTCGCTTTCATTTTCTCACTTTGTTTGGTCTAACAGTCAACATAAAGATGCTTATTTGTACCACGTCTGGAATAATGCTATTTTATGTCAAATCGAATAAAGCCTTTAAGGTTTCTAATAATAGGACGTTGATAAGTTGGGTGCGCTGCAAACTTTTGAATTCTCATCAGCATGAAGAGTTGTCTCAAAGGTTATGTGATAGTTTTTTCCAGCTATCGGACTGCTGCGGCGTTTAGCGGTGATTCAGTAACAAAGCTTGCCACTTGTGTTGGGAATATCTGGCCATTAGCATACGAACTTAACTGATAGGTGGTATAACTGCATTCGAAGAGGTAATGTATAGGAAATCAATTGCTGACTAAGTTTAACTGGAGATAGAACGAGTAAGTATAAGTAAAAAGCGAAATAAACATGTTGCTACTTAACGTGTGATTTTTATCCTCTTAATTACCTTCTACGAATTCGCATAATTAATTATGACCTCTTACCTGTGTATAATTCCCCACTTATATGTATTTAACGGTTGACCATATAACGATTTGAAATATATATAAACACATCTAATCATTTTTACACTAGTTGTCTGTCCTAATCAGTTCACAATT